AGTCAATAAAAACATTCCACATCCTTAAACTCCAGTGACTTTATTATTGATTAGATCATTTACAGTGTGTACACATGAAACTAAATGTGTTACTTACGTGAATATTAATCTCCTCCCATCAGACCCGCCCAGCCATAAATGCACACGATCCCGTATGAAAAGACAAGATTAGCCAAAGTGCCTGCTGTGTGCTAGATAAAGTCTGTAAACAGGCCCTAGAGGATGTTCGGGAATCTATTTGAAGTATGTCGAAAGATTACTTTGATACAAAAACATGTCGACTACCCCAGCTGTGAAGCAGTAGCTGGTGGTATCTGCTGGTGTTGGAAGTACCAGCAGATGGGGACAAAGCACTTTAAAATAGCTACATAAGATTGAAATCGCAGAATATAATCACAGCAATAAATGAAAATCCTCACAATGCATCACAATAAATGCATTTAACAACAACTTAAAACCAATCAGTTAAGTTTATACTCATTCAGTGACAGAAAAACAAAAAACAAAATCCCACCACTCAGTAAAGTTCACAAACCATCTCTGTGATGTGTGGACCGAGAACTTTTCCACAGGAACAACAACCCTGGTAATAGGAGCCAGAACTATTGTCCCGGTACCTGTTACCATCCCAGTAGTATCCTTTCCCACATGAACACTTCCAATGCTGCTGCTGCTGGGTCGTGCTGTGGATATTTTGCTTTCCCAGTTGGACAAATGGGACCAGGTCCCAGATGTTGATGCTTACTTTGAGCTTCATTGTGATTATTTCTTCTCTCTGGTGCTGTCCGGTTCTTCTCAAGAAGGACAGCGTGGAGGCAGTAAAGTTCCACAACACCTCCACCTTTTCAGGTTGTGGTACAGGCTCTTCTCCATTCTCCCCCTGATATGTGATTGATGCAGAGGTTGTCACGAGTTGGGTCCCAGTTCTGGCTGTGCCAGTATTTTGCACCTTCAAACCTTGTGAAGTGGATGATTGAGAACCTTCATTTCTCTTTGTTGTGAGGCTGCTGAGCTGCTTATCTCTCCCAGCACAGTCCATACACAGCTCCATCCTTCAAGTTCTTTGCACACTTTTATCACATAAACCAATCGTCCAATCAGACTCTTCAGGCAGACTGACCACCCACCTCTGAAAGCTGCTGGCTGTCTTGGTACTACAGATTAGAAGAGTTGCACAGCACTGTCCCAGCCAGCTGTTGTGGAAAACCTTCCTGTTGTCTTTGGACAGCGACATGCCAGGACCCAGAGACTGTGGCTCAAAGATCAGGTGTGAACCAGTGGGAACAAGCTCCTGGTGGTGTTCAGGATCAACCAGAGTCAGCAATGATCCCCAGAACTGAGACGCTTGCTTCACCATCTTCTCCCCATTCTGTCTCATCTCCTCAACCAGTTTGTCCCGATGGCTGCCCGGCTCCAGCCCTTTTCTCAGATCCACAGCTTTGGCCTTCTCCACATCCTGATGCACCTGAGAATACATCTGCAGGAATCTGAAGGTGTCCTTCTCCTTCTGTGCTGCTTCCAGGCTGCTCTTGCTGGTTTTCAGGGACACCATACGAGCAGAGACCGAGCTCTGGACGCTGGTCAGAGAGATGTCACGCAGCTTAGTCACAGCCTCAATCAGACGCACACTGCAGCGACCCAGCTTCTCTCTTTCACTCTTCTCCCACTTTTCCAGACTCACATTCTCATCGTCTGTTTTCTCCTGTAAGATCAGCTGCTCAGCTTTCAGCTTCTCCAGGAGCTCTTTGTGGGCTGTGGAGAAGGTCTTCATATTGTGTAGGCGGTGCTGGTCCTCAATGGCGCAGGAAACACACACACAGGTCATGTCGTCCAAGCAGTAGTACTCCAGGAGCTTGCCGTGCTGAGAACATTTGGTGTTCCCACATAAAGTCCATGGGTTCAGTCAGAGGATGAGTCTGCAGTAACACAGGTGTGGTCAGGTGGGCCTGGAGGTGCTGGACACACATGGAGATCTCACACTTCATGCACGTCTTCTTTGCTGGTTTCCTGTCCTCTATACACATGTCACAGAGGATAGTTTGTGGATCTGTTCTTCTCCTTTTTGTTTGTATGCTGTCAGACATGTTTTCCAGCAGGAGGTCCTCCTTAGATTTGCTGAATATAACTCAGTGTTGTACAACAGTTTGGATTATCTGGAAGTTGGTTTGCATTTTACACTGCTGAAACAAATAGAGAAGGTAGAGTCAGGCAACTTTTACTGCAGAAATATGGACGTGCCAACATGAAAACACAGATCAGAGTTTAATTTGCAAACACACTTTTGTGCTAGGGTAGAAGAGACATGGACTTGTAATAAAATGCAATCAAATGATAAAATCCAGGCAGCAATGTTTCTATTGTTGTGCCAACATAAAGGCTTTGATGCTTGAGGCAGGATTTACTTCAGTATCAGTTTGTTGGTGCACAGAATAAATTGACTAACTTTCTTTTTTCATAAAACAAACATGAAAACGCAGTGCTCTCGCTTCAGTCAATCAGATAAATAAAATCATCCTACATATTAAAAATATACTCACTTTATCATCTATCAGATCATTTAAATCGTATAAAACAGCCGCTGTGTTTCTTTGTTGTCATTAATAAGACCAAAAAGCTGTATTTATGCCGATCATAAACCGAAAACAACCGGAAAAGATGGACTCGACGATCCTAAGAACGACCGTGAAACCGAAGATGGAGTAAGATAACGCTAGCGATCAGCCGACCGAGGCTAATGTTCTGGATGCAATTCAGTCGCTCAAAACGCATTTTACAGCTTACCTGCGAAAAGTTTACATGAAGAAATGAAAGATGCAATCGGAGTGTTTTCCGAGAGCCTCACCTCAGCAGAATCTCGTATTAGTAAAGTTGAGGAAGTGGTTTCCTCACTAACAAGTTGGGAGGCCACTTGTTATTGAACTAAACTGTCAGGAACTCCTGCTGAAAGTGGACGACCTTGAAAACAGAAGCCGGAGATCCAACATGAGACTCGTCGGATTACCGAGAGCTGAACCAGGGAAATCACTGCGTTTTTACAGAGCTGGACTGTGTCCAAATTCAGGGGCTGCTCCTCCTTCAGAGCCCGATTACGTCGTAATGTTTTCGTATTATTTCCGTATTGTTATTCTATTTTATATTTTAAATTATAAACTTTTTAGATTATAAACCTTTATACAATTGTGCCCTGTATGTGCTGACAAGTTACTGTAGAAAAACGAGCCCTGTCTTATTTAATGACACAAAGTTTTTGTCATTATATAACACCAGTAGTATTTTCCAGCCTGGTTCTCAGTCTCTCAGTTTGAAATTGAAACTAATTCAAAGTTAATCCAAAGTTATTTACTTTACCTTTTAGACTGACAAAGGTGTACTTAATAAACTGGCAAATTCAGTAACTTTGGTCGTGGTCAGGCATTTTCCTTTCCCAGTCGTACAGTTCTTCTCCTTTCTGTTTGTATGTTGTCAGACATGTTTTCCCAGCAGGAAGTCCTCCTTAGATTTGTTGAATATAAGTCAGTGTTTAAATCAATCTTTATTGCTTTGGACTCCCTTTTAATGAAATTCACCATGAACCTCAAGAATAACCGGGTTTCGCTCTTTTTATTTAACCTGTTACTGGTCAATGTATTAAGTCTGTAACACATTCAATTCTCTGGGCGATATTATCTCACTACTGCTAAACCACACTCAAGGAGTGGTTAGACAAGTTTGACTGCAATTGTTTTCTAATGTTAGTAATTCAGTTAAATTTCCTTCAAGATTAACAAGAAACATGTCATAAATACAGAGTGAGCAAGGGATGAAATTCAGGCAGCAATAAGCCAGCTATAGTCTGTCTTGAGCAAGTAGCTCAAGACTGTTGGAGTTGCACCATTTATGATGACCAAACTTACTTTAGACTTTCTTTGCAAGTTTAAGCAGTAATAAGACTTTTGCACAGCCAGCACCACATGTTCGTTTACAGATGATCAGCATTTTAAGAGGAACTGAAAACTGTGGTGGTCAATAAGAAACGTGGTGACGTGGGTTTTGGACAACAGCATGGGTGTTATTTACAGAAGTTCACAAAGCAACGCTGTGATTGGTGGGGAACCAATAATATTTCCACAAGAGCAGATTGACTGGGAAGAGTTGGAGCCTAATGCCCCTCCATAATTGAATCCATAACTAGACTTAACATTAAACATCCCACATGAGCATTTTGACTGATTCTGATATTGTTGTGGAAATCCTCCAAATGGAGATGTCGTTAAACTTGAACTAAAGGACAACTCATTTGTCGCTTCCTTTTCTAAACCCTGGAGACAAACAAAAGGCTTGAGGTCTGAGCTGGTAGAGCTGATTGTTACTGTGAGTAAGTTTATTCTCTGGTGCTGCCCGATCTTGCTGAAGAATGATAATGAGTCTGGAAAGCTCCACACAACTTCCACTATTTGTGGTCTGGTCATCTGTGGTTCCACATTTCCACCTGCAGCGTTGATCACTTGTTGGGAAACCTTATAATGCTGTTGGGGCGTTTCAATTTTCGGCATCCCAAACCCCATCACAGGTTGAGTTTCTTTCATAACCCAACTAGACTCTGTTGTGAGAGAGAAGAGCTGGTTACCTTGGCAGTGCAGGCCATAGATATATCCATCCTCCATACTGGCTGCATAAGTGTCGTCATATACACTGATGGTCCAGTCACAGTCTTTGGAAATGCTGATCACCCATCTCTTAAAGTCAGGAACAGGAAGTGTACCCTTAATGAGGAACAAGTTAGAAGAACAAAATTTCATCCACTGACTGTGGAAAACCTTCCTGTTGTCTTTGGCAGTGACATGCCAGGACCCAGAGACTGTGGCTCAAAGATCAGGTCTGAACCAGTGGGAACAAGCTCCTGGTGGTGCTCAGGATCAACCAGAATCAGCAATGATCCCCAGAAATGAGACGCTTGCTTCACCATCTTCTCCCCATTCTGTCTCATCTCCTCAACCAGTTTGTCCCAATGGCTGCCCGGCTCCAGCCCTTTTCTCAGATCCATAAGGTTGGTGCACGAATCTGCTATAAATAGTGTTTCCTCATCAGCATCCCAAACACTATTACACGTGGAGTTTCTTTCATAACCAAATTAGACTCTGTTGTGAGAGAGAGGAGCTGGTTACCTCTGCAGCGTAGGCCATAAACATATCTATCCTTTATATAGTTTCTATAAGTGTCGTCACAATCACCAATGGTCCAGTCACAGCCTTTGGAAATGCTGATCACCCATGTCTTAAAGTCAGGAACAGAAAGTGTACTCTTAATGAGGAACATGTGGGAAGAACAAAATTTCATCCATTGACTGTGGAAAACCTTCCTGTTGTCAGTGTGGAGAGACTATCAGAGAGATACGGCTGGATGACTCCGCTCAGTCATCAACTCAGGGCTGAAGACTGGAGTTCAATATTCACCTCTGCCTAATCACACAGACCACCTGTTTCAAAGTACACCTGCACCTTCCAGGAGGAGGTCTGGACTGGAAACTGAACCTAAGCTCATGGAGGTACTTCACAGATTGATGGAGGATAATTGTAGGCTGTAGTGACAGGTGATGGATATGCACAGAAGAACTGATGCAAGATGACACTGTGTATCGACCTCTGTCATTCCCACCAGCTGTCCAAAGTAATGGTCATGCTTTGCTTTCTGGCTGGGAGAATTTGCCAGACTCAAGGTTGCCCTGGAAAATCCACTGCCTGAGGATGGTACAGAGCACTTTAAGTAACAGATTTTGGTGGATCATCTGCAATATGAGGAAGCACTATTTATAGCAGATTCATGCACCAGTTCCCCACAATCTTCTACTGATACAATGGCCAGTATGGGTAACCTCACCAGATAGCTCTCACAAAAATTGCTGACCTCATAGAAGCCCCAAACATTGCATGTGGTGACACCAGTGGGTGCATGTATTTCGCACTGAAAGTGAGTGCACTTATTTGGATGGTAGATCAGCTTGGACTCACAGGCCAGACTGAACCTAACTGTGTGTCCCATGTGACACGGCAGCTCACCAAGCTGCCTCAGGACATGCAGGCAGAGTTTATGAGGTTCTATGCGGATTATTATTCCCAGTTTCCCGTATTTCCCTGATTGGCTTGATTATGAACTAAATATACAAGAGACAACATATGAATCTTGTTATAGTGAAGCTCGGTGTAAATCAGCACCTCGGACAGAGCGCCGCATTGACTGCAAGGGTGGTAAGAGCATCAGAGCTCTGCACACTATAACAGCCCTGGTAAACACCAGCCCCAGGAATCTCCCACCCCCCAGCACCGGGCCAAAAGAAGGGTCTCCATACTGTCCTTACTGTACCTACACCCAGCATTTCCTTGCTCAGTGTGCACATTTTCCACAGCTGACAGTAGATCCAAGAACACTGAGAATCAAAACCAACAGGAGGTGTTGATGATGTGGTTGTTTGCATGAGCAAAAGCATCTGTACCTAAAGCCACAAATGTTGTTGAATCTATTTATACTTTTGTCTTACCTGGTTCAGCTGCTCCTGATCAAACCAAAGTTAGTGTGTGTTTCCTTTTACGAGCGAGACGTTCAATCGATTTATTGTAGTGATTATAACCTTCATGTTAGCTTCAGAAGTCCTTCAGTGTGGGTATTTTACAGGATTTAGTTTCACACAGTTCATTTCACCATTTCAAATTGTTCTTATGTAAACTTGTTCTTTTTTGTCATATGTATCTAAACATTAAAAAAAGGCAGTTTTTATATCTCAAAAACTCACATTACATTTCATCCAGTAAATAAAAACATTTCACAACTTCAAACTCCAATGACTTTATAATTGATTAAATCATTTACAGCGTGTACTCATGAAATTAAAGAGACTCTGTATCCTAACCTCTTTCTGAAACTAATTGTGAACATTTCAAGTGTTTTCTTTGTTAATTTATACAATATAAGAACCATATTATCAAGTTAAGTTTTCTGTTAGCCAAATTTAGGGGTTTTTATGTTGGTTTTCTAGTGAGAGTTTTCTTGTCAAATGCTAACTGAACAGCTCAGACAACATGATTGGTCAGTTGCAGTCATTATGATATTGTAGGAACAACACTAACATGGGGTGATCAGATGCCATTGATTGAATTTATTAATTTCCCATAATATCTTATGTATGACATTCCCTTGCTGGGTTCCTTTATTTTCTTATTATGTATAAAAAAAAGAAAATAAATGTTATGTAAAGTCACAATACCTGGTGATTATTTAAAGGCTTTGATGTTTGAGGCAGGATTCCTGCCAGCACTGAACAACTGTATTTATTGCAGTTTCAGATTGTTGGAAATCGACAGCCCAGCCTGTAGATTATTGACATTTATGGAGAACAATAGTGCCCTGTATGTGCCTACAAGTTACTGTAGAACAATGAGCCTCGTCTTATCTAATAAGACAAAATCTGGTGAGGTGTATGCTCAGTTTACAGTGTTTACTGTGCACCTGGATAAAATTAATATTGCCAAAATGTTTTGCTTTATGTCTTATATAGTTAAACTATCTTCATTATGAAGTTATATGAATGCCCTGACCAAAAAGACACTCAGTTAAACACTTCGAACAAATCTTAAAGGATAAACTTTAGGATGGGCTTCATTTTGGACACAGACAGCAGGTATGCATAATAAACTGGCAAATTTGGGTAAAATTCCTTTTTTTATATTAACAAAAAGTTAAATTGCAATGTTTACACTTTAATTAATCAAATAAAAGCATTCCACAATAAAAAAAAATCAACTTAATTTATTATTGATCAAATCATTTACAGTGAATGAAACAACACGTTTCTTTGTTGTCATCAATAAGGCCAGAGAGCTGTACGAGAGCACCAACAGTAGATGGATGCAAACATCTTCATTTTGCAGATTAAATTAAGCAGAAAAATTAAAACTAAAAGACTTTGTTGATACATTGGAACCAAATGCAAAAGATAAAAACTTATTGAAATCGAAAAACATGCAAGTGAATATACATTTTAAGTTTGGTTTGAATTTTGTTCACTGAAAGTTTGCATTTCACAAATTCATCACTGAAGATTCTTCACTGAATTCATCCGTCACTTAAATTTATATCCATCTGGTTAAAAAAACAAAACAAAAAAAAACAGAGCCCCAGTTAGCAAAGTTTACAAACCATCTCTGTGACACCAATAACTTTTCCACAGGAACAAGTAGACTGGTAAGAGTAGCCAGAACTATGATCCCGGTACCTGTTACCATCCCAGTAGTAAACCTTCCCACATGAACACTTCAAGTCCTGCTGCTGGGTCGTGCCGTCAATATTTTGTTTTCCCAGTTGGACAAATGGGGTCAGGTCCTGGATGTTGACGCTTTCTTTGAGCTTCATTGTGATTATTTCTTCTCTCTGGTGCTGTCCGGTTCTGCTGAAGAAGGACAGCGTGGAGGCAGCAAAGTTCCACAACACCTCCACCTTTTCAGGTTGTGGTACAGGCTCTTCTCCATTCTCCCCCTGATATGTGATT